GAGGGAGAGAGAGAGTGAAGTGAGTGTGTCAGGGAGTCACTTTTTTAAAATATATATTTATTTGTAAATATAGTATTTGGTACAACAAACAACTCAAAAGACAACATCTTTTGCAAATTTTTTTCCATGTATCCCGATACAAAACGTTCCATTCTTTACATCACATTCCCTTTTTTGGGGCTGCACTTCTATACGGTGAGGGTCCCCTGATGTCGGTCTGTGCACAGTTGGGACCCTAGAGCTTTGGGTTTAGCGCTGCTGTCAGCGAGGCCAGCATAGGAGCCGCTCCAGTTGGGCTCCGGTCCCCCCCCATCTGTCTGTTGCCACGGCTGTGCCGAGCTTCAGCGCATCCCGAACCACGTAGTCCCTGATGGCGGAATGTACGAGCGCGCAGCAGGCCTTCTCTGACGTGGTGCTGTGCTGGTACACCAACTGGTTTCTCGCGGCCACAAGGGCCGCCTTCACCGAGCCGATGATCCTTCAGGCGCGCTCGATGTCAGTCTCACTGTGTGTGTCCCCCGGGAAGAAGCCGTACAGCACTGACTGCCGTGACAGTGGGTCCCCAGGGACGAACTGCGAGAGCAGTCAGTCCATCTGTTCCCACACGGCCTTTGCGTACTTGCACTGCAGGAGGAGGTGTTCCACCGTCTCCTCACCGCCACAGCTGACCTGAGGGCAGCATGTGGTGGCTGGGAGGCCCCGGTGGTGCAAGAAGAACCTGACGTAGAGCGTTTTTTATTGACAGCCAGGCCATGTCCTGATGTTTGTTGGGACAAGGCCAATGACAAAAGCGTTCTGTCAGACATGTCTGACATCCCTGGGGAACCCCTCTATCAGGTCCATTCCCTCTCCCTTTCTGACTCCAGCACGGACCACTGGGTGATTGCCCACGGGGGGTCTGCGATGTTGCGAGATGTGAATCTCTCAATATGTGATAGGTGTTTTGGCTCCAGCTGTGTGCGGCGTTCCCAGGCAGTTCTTCCAGACCCATCCTTAGCAGCATCTGCTGCCGGCATAGCGGGGCTCCAGGCACAGCCTCAGGAAGCTACACACAAAGGTGGTCATGATGATCAGGGCTACATCGGGGACGCTCTTGCCTCCTTTGTCCGGGATCTTGAGGAGTGCAGTCCTGCGGATTCCCAGACAAAGTGGAAGATTTCTTGGGTGACCTTGGCAGCACTGGACAGTATGGGCCAGATTTGCGCCATGTACAGCAACGCCGAGAGCACCTCACACCTGATCACCAGGTTTTTCCCATGATGGACAGCGAGCACTGGCGCCACATTCACAGTTTCTTCCTCACCATCTCTAGACGCTCCTCCCAGCTTATGTGCCCTGCCCCTTGGCCCTGAACCAGATGCCGAGGACTTTGATGTAGTCTGGCCTGACTGCAAATGGGATATCCGTGGTCACTCCAGTTACCAAAATATCGGACCTTGCTTTCTGGCAGTTTACTATGGCACCTGAAATGGTCACAGATGCCTAGCAGGTTCACTACCGAGCACTGGTCTGAGCAAGAAGGTGACGTCATCCATGTATAAGGGAGACCTTCGCTTGTGTGCTGTGTCTGCCCAGGTTGGTGATCCCTCTAATGCTCTTATCCCTCCTGATGGCTTGAGCAAATAGACAATGCAGCAGACAAAAGAGGAGAACGTCCATCACCCTTTCCTGCACACAGGCAATGGTATTTCTGAGTAGCGCAAGGCTTTCTGAGATCCTTTGTCTGGGAACTGTGCAGGTTTGGTCAGTGTGGATCACCTGCCCGAGTTCAGTCTTGATCTGCTCAGAAATCACCTTTGTCAGGATCTTGTAATCTACATTGAGCAGCGTAATTGGCCGCCAGTTCTTAATCTCCTCCTTTTCCCCCTTCTGCTTGTAGACGATGGTGACCGTGCCTTTTCTCATGGAGAAATGTTCCCATGTTCTCTGTCAGTAGCATACTCTTGGACCCTCCCAGCAGGTCTGGGCCTATCACGTCCCAACTGGCCGTGTAGAGCTCCATCAGGAGGCCATCGCCCTGGGGGTCATACCCACCTGGAGGGCTTTGACAGCCCTGATCAGCTCATCCAGAGAGCATGGGCCTTCTAGGTGGTCCCGGCTTCCCTCGTCCAGCACCTCGGTGCTGGCCGACAGGAAGTCGCGGGAGGCCGCGCTCTCCATGGGTTTCTCAAGGTACAGGTCAGGCAGATTAGGATCTCGTGGTCCTTTGTCTGTTGCCTGCCCGGGCGTCCGGAGCCGGTCTCATCCCTCAGCCCATCCATCACAGCCTCAGTTTGCTTTCTGAAAGAAGAGCGAGCACGTCTGATCGCACTCGATGGAGCGGAAGATAACTTTGGACGCCTCGGAGGCAGAGAGCGAGGCTTGTTGACCCTTCACCTCCTCGAGTTCCTCCCTGACATTGTGACCCTCGGCTTGCTGCCGGAGGAGACCCCGTAGTCTGGTCTGGAGTCGGGGGAGCGGGGGGAGGGGGAGGGCACAGTCCCTGTGTCCAGCTGTGGCGATCTGCACATCCTCGCGGACGAAAAACTGCTTAATCCCGGATTTAACTGCGTGGTCCCCCCGACCTGTGGGGGAGTAGTGGGAGACCCCCCACCCCCAGGTTTGTCAGCCTCCGTACAACTCCTCAACTGCTGCAGATTTTCAGGGGGTTATTGATCAGCAGTTTCACCAGAGACACAGTCACACACAGACAGTCACACACACACACACAGACAGTCACACACACACACACAGACAGTCACACACACAGACAGACAGTCACACACACACACACAGACAGTCACACACACAGACAGACAGTCACACACACACAGACAGTCACACACACAGACAGACAGTCACACACACACAGACAGTCACACACACACACAGACAGTCACACACACAGACAGTCACCACACACACACACAGACACACACACACACAGACAGTCACACACACACAGACAGTCACACACACACAGACAGTCACACACACACACACAGACACACACACACAGACAGTNCACACACACAGACAGTCACACACACACACACAGACAGACAGAGTCACACAGACACACACACAGACAGACACAGACACACACAGACAGACACACACACACACAGACAGACAGTCACACACACACACACACAGACAGTCACACACACAGACAGACAGTCACAGACACACACAGACAGACAGTCACACACAGACAGACAGTCACACACACACAGACAGTCACACACACACACACAGAGAGTCACACACACACACACAGAGAGTCACACACACACACACAGACAGTCACACACACACACACAGACAGTCACACACACACAGACAGTCACACACACACACAGACAGTCACACACACACAGACAGTCACACACACACACACAGAGAGTCACACACACACACACAGAGAGTCACACACACACACACAGACAGTCACACACACACACAGACAGTCACACACACACACAGACAGTCACACACACACAGACAGTCACACACACACACAGACAGTCACACACACACACACAGTCACACACACACAGACACACACACACACACAGACAGTCACACACACACACAGACAGTACACACACACACAGTCACACACAGACAGACAGTACCCAACACACCACACACAGACAGTCACACACACACACACAGACAGTCACACACACAGACAGACAGTCAACCACACACACACAGTCAACAACAGAGAGTCACACACACACACAGAGATCACACACACACACACAGTCACAACACAGAGTCACACACACACAGACAACAGTCAAAACAGACAGTCACACACACACAGACAGTCACACACACACAGACAGTCCACCCACAGCACACACACACAGACAGTCACCACACACACACGACAGTCCACACAACACACACACACAGACAGTACAACACATCACACCACACAGACAGTACACCAGACAGTCACACACAGACAGACAGTCACACACACACACAGACAGTCCCACACCCAACATCACACACAACAGACAGTCACACACACACACAGACAGTCACACACCACAGACAGCACCACACAGTCAACACACAAAAAACACACACACACGAGGTCAACAACACAGAACAGTCACACACACACAGACAGTCACACACACACAGACAGTACCACACACAACAGCAAACAGACAGTCACACACACACACAGACAGTCATACAGACACACACACACAGACAGTCAAACACCATCACAACACAGACAGTCACCACGAGTCACACACACACAGACAGTCAACACACGACATCACCACAGACAACAGTCACACACACACACACAGACAGTCCACACAACACACACACACAGACAGTTACAACAGATCACACACACACAGACAGTCACACACACACGCCTCACCCCCTCCCCCCTCCCCGACACCCCCCCCCCCCCCCCCCCACCCCGACACCCCCCACCACCACCGCCTCACCCCCCCCACCCCCCCCCCACCCCGACACCCCCACCACCGCCTCACCCCCTCCCCCCCTCCCCGACACCCCTCACCCCGACACCCCCACCACCGCCTCACCCCCTCCCCCCCCTCCCCGACACCCCCACCCCGACACCCCCACCACCGCCCTCCCCCCCACCCCGACACCCCCACCACCGCCTCACCCCCTCCCCCCCTCCCCGACACCCCCCACCCCGACCACCCCCACCACCGCCTCACCCCCTCCCCCCCACCCCGACACCCCCACCACCGCCTCACCCCCCCCCCCCCCCGACACCCCCCACCCCGACACCCCCACCACCGCCTCACCCCCTCCCCCCCTCCCGACACCCCCCACCCCGACACCCCCACCACCGCCTACCCCTCCCCCCCACCCGACACCCCCCACCCCGACACCCCCACCACCACCGCCTCACCCCCTCCCCCCCACCCCGACACCCCCCACCCCGACACACCCCCTCCCACCCCGACACCCCCACCCGCCCTCCCCAACCACCGCCACACCCCCCACACCCCCACAACATGTCCATCTTCCAATCGGCCTTTGACTTCCTCTCGGGGACTCCGGGCTCCTCGAGCGGTCGCGACCACAACGAATTCGTGGGACAGACTGTGGAGCTGGGAGAGGCCAGACTGAGAGTCAAGAGGGTCATCGCCGAGGGTGAGACACACTCACTACACACTCACTGTGCACTCACTACACACTCACTACAGACTACACACTCACACCACACTCACTACACACTCACACTCACTACAGACTACACACTCACACTCACTACACACTCACTACAGACTACACACTCACTACAGACTACACACTCACACTCACTACACACTCACTACAGACTACACACTCACACTCACTACACACTCACACTCACTACACACTCACTACAGACTACACACTCACACTCACTACACACTCACTACAGACTACACACTCACACTCACTACACACTCACACTCACTACACACTCACTACAGACTACACACTCACTACAGACTACACACTCACTACAGACTACACACTCACTACACACTCACACTCACTACACACTACACACTCACTACAGACTACACACTCACTACAGACTACACACTCACTACACACTCACACTCACTACACACTACACACTCACTACAGACTACACACTCACTACAGACTACACACTCACTACACACTCACACTCACTACACACACTCACTACAGACTACACACTCACTACACACTCACTGTGCACTCACTACACACTCACTGTGTACACACTACACACTCACTACACACTCACTGTGCACTCACTACACACTCACTGTGCACTCACTACACACTCATTACAGACTACACACTACAGACTACACACTCACTACACACTGCACACTCATTACAGACTTCACACTTACTGCACACTCACTGCACACTCATACTCATTATACACTTACTACACTCACACTCGCTACACACTGGCATACACTACATACACACACTCACTACACTCACACTACACACTCACACACACACTCATACCTACTCCAAGGCGATGTATCAAATGCAAGGATTATCAATAGTATTGCATGGTATTATATGATTTTTCACACCATGAGGACGTCTCAAAGCGCTTCATGTGATGTATTGTAAATTGGAGCGGCCATATGCATTCTGTAAGTTCCTTTGAGAACCACATTTCAAAACGGGGTTTATAATTCAAAGTTACAATTGAAAATCAATATTTGACCCCTCGAATAAAGGTTCTTAAACACACATTCAAAGCTGTCTGCCCACCTACATAGGATGCATGTGTTTTTAGGAACTGTGTTGAGTTAAGTTATAACTCAAGAGGGGAGGTGAGGAGAAATGGTTTCACACAGCGAGTTGTTTGGATCTGGAATGCATTGGCTGAAAGGCTGGCGGAAGCCGATTCGATAACAGCTTTTAAGAGAGAAGTAGATAATTATTTGGAGAGGACCCGTTTGCAGGGCTATGGGGAGAGAGCGGGGGAGTGGGATTGATTTGGAAGCTTTTTTCAAAGAGCCGCCACAGACACGATGGGCTGAATGGCCTCCTCATGTGCTGCATAAATCTATGATTGTATACCCCACTCACATACATTACACACGTACTACACCATACACACTATCACACTACACACTCACTGCACCATACAAACACTAACTACACTACACCCCAACACCATAGCGCCATGCATACACTACACCATATAAACAGTATACCCCAACACACACACACCAACATCATATCCTGGAGTCCTGTAGCAAATTGGTTAGAGCACTCACCTCGCAAGCGAGAGACCTGGGTTCAATTTCCGGCAGGGTGAAACGTTGGACAAGTTTCCTTACTCCACGCGCCTCTGTTTACCTAGCAGTAAGTAGGAACTCAGTTTTTAGTCGATTGGTGGATCGCTTTTCTGGGAGTAATAGTTCCTTCAATCCATGACTGTTTGTGGGACACTGCTGAGTGCAATTGGCTGCCGCGATTCTCCCACAAAATATACAGTCATTTCACTTTACAGTACATTCTTTCAAATGCTTTGAGACGTCTCGAAGACGTGATAAGGAGCTATATCAAATGCAAGGATTATTATATATATATACACACACATACAGCACCCTCAAAACCATATACACACTACACCTCCAATAGCCTCCTCCCCTCCACACTCATACCACACACAAACACCACACTCACTGCACCCCCCAATAGCCTACAACGCACACACTCCCCCTCCACCACCCCCTCCCAATACTCACACCACAGATCCAGCACCGTACATCATACACTTCGCCCCCCCCCCCCCCCGTTGACTGGTTATTAATACACTTGTAGCTGACACACCAGACAGTGCCAAATTCATGTATTCATAGATTATTGATTGGATGGAAGGAAACTTGCTTTCCATTATTTTAAGGTGTGGAAAGCATAATCCTTACATTTGACATTTCAGCCTTTCATCTCGGAGGGCATCTCAAAGCGCTTCACAAGATACACAACAAGGTATAATGACTGCATTTTGCAGGCAAACGAGGAAGCCAATTTGACCACAGCATTGCCCCACAAACAGGCATGAAGTAAATGTCCTATTATATATTAAGAAAACCGTGTTTTGTAGGTATGTCATCTCGCAGTTTTATTAAAATAGTATGAAAGTCAACAACGTGCCCTTCTCAATATTGTATTCATTTATGTAGTTCTATTATGAAGTTGAGTGTTTGCCATGCTGCTTTATCTTTTGTATGAATATTTTTTAAATTGTGAGAATGAATATAATCAGTAGACCCTTTGTAGCAGGAGATCCCTAACTAATTACTGTAAAGGAAATTAAGTATTACAGTGAATTGTGTTTAATTCAATATTGTATAATTGAATAGTTCAGTTTATTAAATAGAATTTAGAGCTCTGGGAGGTGAGCCTCTTATATTTAGTCTGGCTATGTGAATGGTTTGGTTTATTGAATAATTTAGCTAACAAATTGAGTATTCAAATAACCAAATTTCACTGTATCAATAGACACTCTATGATTTAGTTTCAACAGTGTGTTCAGTTAACACCTTCACACTTTCTGATCAGCACAGCACCTCTGATTCACTTTCTTTCATAATATAGTGTTTCAATGGTAAAAGTATTTAAAAAATCAGCAACAACGACAGATTGTAAATTGTTAGTGTTTGAGCAGATTTTAACAGTTGCAGCCGGTAACTATCTTTTGAAGACAAGCGAAGAGAGATTTTCCTGGTCATTCACTTCGTGGATAATTATAGGACATTGCTATGAGCAAATTGGCTACTGTGTTTGCGAACGATATTCTGTGAAGCACTTTGAGACATCATCCTGACCTGAGAGATGCTATATCAAATGTGATGTTTATTTATTTATAAGATTTATTTATAAACTGTTACTATTGTAGCTTAGGTTATAAACAAGAGTATTTAGAAGTAGTCTTTGCCTAGTTTTCTGATGCAAGCAAATTGTGCGGCAACATATAAGTGTACCAGAGGTCGAGGTTAGTGTTTAAAGGAATCTGGAGAGGCGTGTTTGGGCAACTGATTTGCACTTCTGTTTCAATGAGGATGTATACAAGAAAATGTAGATATGAATAAGATCAAATGGTGTACTCTGTTGGAGGAAAGCAGGGAGAATACAAAATCTCTTTGGTTCTGGTGGTTCGAGGAGTGTTCCAGTGTTTGTAATGGGAGAGAGCAATTAATAGGGCAAATCCAGGACTTTATTGTACTTTTTTTTACAGCGCATCCTCAATAGGTAATAATATTATAATAATATTAATCTTTGCATTTGATATAGTGCCTTATCATGTCTTCGAGACGTCTCAAAGCGCTTCAGAGAATATACGGTAAAGCGGATTGACTGTGTATTTTGTGGCAGCCAGTTGGCCCAGCAGTGTCCCACAAATAGCCACGGAGTGAGTGAGTGTCTTCTGGAGAGATATGGGTGGTGTAGATGTGTTCTACTGTGTGTCTTGATCACTATCGTACTATTTTTTAAAGCAGCCCTAGTACATCTGAGAGTTTGCAGAGGAGGAGCACAAAGATAATTTGCAGACATGAGTTGACAATGGAAGGGCAGCACATAAGTGAACTGGAATTATTTTCCAATAAAATGGTGTGAGGCGATATATAATTTTAAATTCAGGCAAAATACATTTTGGATGTTATGACTTTGTTTCCCAGCATTAATTGGAATAACAATTTGATACAATGAGATTGGAGGCTGCACTTTCCCAAAGGTAGAATGGCTGAAATGTTGGAAAGTAATATGGAAAGTGGAGTCCTGTAGCTCAGTGGTTAGAGCACTCACTTTGCAAGTGAGAGACCTGAGTTCAATTCCAGGCAGAGGGCGAAACCTTGGGCAAGTTTCCTTACTCCACACAGAGCCTAATAATAATCCCTCCAAAACCAAAAACAATAATAAATTGGTCATTTTCAATCTACGACTGTTTGTGGGACATTGCTGTGCGCAATTGGCTGCCGCGTTCGCCCACAAATATACAGTCAATTCACTTTACAGTGTGTTCTGTGAAGCGCTTTGGGACGTCCTCCCGACGTGAAAAGCGCTATATCAAATGCAAGGATTATTTATTATAAAAATGCAGAAAGTTAAAGAACGGGCAGCGATGAAAGAAAGCATCCAAAGCACTGATCCTGGAAATTGAACTGATTTTTTTTTTCTTTCCTTCCTATGGATTCTAGCATTGTCTTAATGTTTTTCTACACGCAGTAATTTTATAATAACCCTTACATTTGGTACAGTGCCTTTCACGTCAGGAGGATTCCTGAAGCTCTTCACAGGACATACTATAAAGTGCAGCGACTTAGTCTTGTGGGCAAACAAAGCCGTCAACTTGTGCATAGCAATGTCCCACAAGCAACACAAATTGAATGACAAATTTTATGTCTTCCCTTGCGAAAGTCTTGGTTTTAAGACTTAGTCCCTGCCAATTTTCTGTCCCATTCTCTACAATGGATGCTTTGGAATTATTTTACTTCTACTCGAGTACTGTTTCATGGCCATCAGATGACTTCCAGTACATCACCACACGGACATTATTTCATGCTTGAGTCTTAATGTTGAAGGTGAGTGCTTGAACCTGAATCTGTCCTCACAGATTGTCCAAGCACCTGGCAGAG